GCCGCGCTTTTAAAAATGGCGGCTCCCCGCTTATGCAAATGAAGCCCGGGAAATTCAAATCCCGGGCTTCATTTGCAAGTGCGGTATGCCTACATTACCCTCCTAGTTCGAACTAGCGGGGTAGTGTAGACATACCCTCTGAGAGAGTTTGTCTGTGAGCAAGCAAGTCTGTCTGTCTGTTCATCTGAACTCCTCCTAAACTGTAAGTGCTAAGACCACCACAGCTGGAATGCAGCTTCCTCTTATCCTAACATAAAGCAAGGTAAGAGTTGGAGGAGGGGCCTGAAGCTTCCCCTCCCCCATTTATAAGGAGACTCATAAAATCGTTCAGAAAAGAGACAGAATCACCTGGGCAAGTGAAAGGCTGGCAGGGGGCACCGTCCCCGTCTGGGACTGCCCCAGTCCTGAGCCTCTCACCCTATGGGCACCACTTAGGGAGGGTGGGAGAGCTGATGTGTCCCCTTTCCCCCACCTGATCCACATGGAACTGGAATATTGCTAGCTGTTCCCCTTCCTCAGGGAGGGGAAACTGCTGATGTAAGAGAGGGTGGGGTTGTCCTCTCCCCAGGGAAGCCTGCATACTGACTCCCTCTTCTTCAGCCCCACCCCAAAGCAATGTTTTAAATGAAGAAAAACAAAAATTATTTGAGTAAAGGACCCAAGCAACAGTGAGTAAATCTTCTAGTACTTGTATAAAAGGAAGAGAATTCAAACCACAGATTTCAAAAAATATTCATTTAACGAATAGATGTCAGCAAAGTTAATAAGGACATAAGAATGGCTATATTGTTGTATAAAGTCTCCGCGCGAGCTATTACTAGATTTACATGTAAATTTTCTGGAAATGCATTAAACTGTAAGGTCCTGCCAACACATGACATAGGGTATGTCTACACTTGCTCCCTAGTTCTAACAAGGGATGCAAATGCAGGCATTCTGAATAGTCAATGAAGTGGGGATTTAAATATCCCACGCTTCATTAGCATGATCTCGCCGGTGCCGGGAAGTGCACGCCGGGATGTGTTAGTTTGAACCAAACCCCTTGGTTCGAACTAATGTTACTCCTGGATACTGACAGCCCCCCGATTGACCTCCCGGATGGCAGCCTGCAGAAAGTGCAGCCTGGCTCTCAGCAACATGATCAAGAGAAGCACCAGAGTGCCCAGGGGCAGCTCTGGCTCCATGTTGCAGAGTACTGTGATATCCCGAGTGAGGGCAACCAGAGCACACGGAGAAGAAAATGCTTTGCTGTCCCTCATTGAGGTAGACAAGCAAGCAGGGAAACCTGAGAACTGACTGTCCGGGGGGGGAGGGGGGGAGGAGGGAAGGGCACCTTTAAGCACAGATCTCAGTTAGCCTCAGGCAGCAGCCCCACACAGTAAGTCCTGACCTAGTGCCCCGCTGGAACTGGTTCTGGCCAGCCTTAAATACAATTCAGAGTGCACTCAGTGTGGACACGAAATTTTGAAATAGCAAAATGATATTTTGAAATGCATTTTGTGTGTAGACGCGTTATTTCGAAATAACTATTTTGAAATAACTCTGTAGTGTAGACATACCCTCATTTAATAAATCCATATCAATGTAACCCTGAGGTGGTTTCCAGTGAACACATACTGGGTCAGACCTAGTATCCTATCTTGCAACAGTGGCCAATGCCAGATACCTCAGAGGAAGTGAACAGAACAGGTAATCATCATGTGATCCCTCTCCTGTCATCCATTTCCAGCTTCTGACAAACAGAGGCTAGGGACATCATTCCTACCCATCCTGCCTAATAGCCATCAATGGACCTAACCTCCATGAATTTATCTAGCTCTTTTTTGAACCCTGTTAAAGTCCTGGTCTTCACAACGTCCTCTGGCAAGCAGTTCCACAGACTGACTGTGTGCTGCATGAAGAAAAACTTCCTTTCGTTTGTTTTAAACCTGCTACCAATTAATTTCATTTTGTGACCCCTAGTTCATATACTGTGGGAACAAGTAAATAATTTTTCTGTGAACACATGATTCTTTGTTGCGGAGAGGAATCCTATGAAAAAAGCATGGTCTTGTATTACCTCTGAGAGAAGAGATCCCTGTAGGGGCTGCCATGCTGGAGCGCTATCCCATATCCTTTACTGCTGATGCTGTTTCCAATGACGGTCACAGAACACTCATCATCCGTCAGCGCTGCATATTCCACCACTGTTACATCCCACAAAAATGCATAGTTGCCTTTCTTTGCCTGCAAATGCACCACAAATAAAACAAAATTATAGAGTTGATCTAGGTCTCAAATTGGTCTTAAAGTCACATCAAGCCTTTCATTGCCCAGTGCTAACATTTCATTATTAATGACAACATTTTTGACCTTACATATCTTTTGATACTTCTGAAGCCCCCAGAGCAGTTCCTCATCTACTTTGTACCCAAGTTAGAGCACTCCAATTATTTCAATGAACCAAGATATTTCATTGTCCAAGATGTTCTGTGTGTGCCATTGCCAACTTTAGGCCTCAAACTGGTCTTTTAAATACAGGCAGTCCCCGGGTTACGTACAAGATAGGGACTGTAGGTTTGTTCTTAAGTTGAATTTGTATGTAAGTTGGAATTGGTACATATTGTAGGGGAAACTCTAGCCAAACATTTCTCCAGAGCTCAGTTTTATTCTCCCACACCTCACTTCCCTCAGTCCTTTATTCTCAAGCTGAGGTGTCTGCTGAGAAAAGCCGCTCTGTCTCTCCCTAGTCTGCTGGGGGGGGCGCTAGCTTCGCGTCTCCCTGGTCTGTTGGGGGGAAGCAGCTAGTGCGGGGTTGCCTCACCCTGTTTGTAAGTAGGGATCCGATGTAAGTGGGATCCATGTAACCCGGGGATTGCCTGTAATTATAACTATGGATAATGAATCAAAACCATCATCTTAAATGATTTTACTTGATATGTTTTTCTTAAGATTAGTGATATTAATTCCTCCACAACTACACAGTTTTACACCCGGACAAGCTCTATGGTATTTTCTAGCAGTAACAGCAACCAAAGTGGAAGCCTATTTTAAAAAAATCACTTTTGAAAAGTGCTGTTCTAACCCTTCAACAAAAAGTAGGATACAATTTTTAGAGACAATTTTTTTTCCTTAGCATGGAAGAGTAGAGTCACCAGATTCTCCCACTAGCTTTATTTGTAACCAATATTGACTTATTTTAGTACACACCTACACAGCTGTCCTCAAATGTCAGCCTTAATTGGATTCAAACCAGTGCCTAAGTGCAGTGTGCATGATGAATGTAAATCACTTTACTTAACATAAGATGTAAGAAATGTTCTGGATGGGGATTTTAATAAAAAAAGTCATCACTTTGCTGGGTTAAAGTAATAATTGATTTCCTAATGTATTTAAGTAATATGTTTTTAAGTCTCTAGTGAACATACAAGACACAGTGGAACAGATGGGCTGGAGAAACTAATGCAAATGAATGAGTAATCGTAGATGCGGGCTTCCAAGACTTATTTTTTTTAAGTTTGGGTGATTTGTGTTTTCTCATCAGGTTAAGAGAGCTGGCAAGGCACAAAGCTGACATTCTATATATATTTGTTTACAAGACCAGGTCCTCAAGCATCCCCAATTAACTGCCTCATTTCTGACCATCAGAGGTTCACTGTGGTTGATTTTCACTTCCATGTGCATTCAGTCTGGGAATGATTTAGAAGACTAGACTCTCTTAGTTGTTTTATATGAGCTTCTGCCTGGTCATGTCTGGACTAGGAAATGAAACTTATTTCTGTTTAGCATGCTTGGTTCTAAATTATCACAGTACACTAAATTGCTAGATGACTATTTAAATGGGACAATAAACCATATGTGGGAACACGGCCTTCTAATGAAAATGACCAGAAAGGAATAAAGCAGTTCTTGATAATATTCATCATAAACAAAGTTCCCTCTCTTCTGGATAAAGGCAAAAATCCGCTGGCTTTTGGGTTAAACAAAACAAATTACTGTTTGTGGTTCTTCCTTCTTTTTCCTTTAGGAAAAAGAAGTCAAGTTCCCTTCTCAGGCTTTAAATAAACCCCACATACTGTTTTAAGAAGGATTTCCTTGGCAGTTGGCTTCCTTCAGCCTGGCTTTTGTGGCTTTCCAGCCATTTGCAAAGCCAGACTGTGAGTAATTCTTTCTTCTCTTCTTTGTTACAGGCTAGTTTTCTGGGATGCTGATGATCTCTAGCTACCTTTCATCTACCCATTTACCTCTGTCTCTTAGCGCATTAGCTCATACCACAAAAATCCGCCCCAGACAATCTATCCCATCACATCAAACTACTACATTAAGGTAGCAAAAATAACAAATTCATATATTCAGTAGGCTAAAATAACGTATTCATGTAACATGCCTTGAGTAGCTAAGATTAGTGTTGCTGTATTAGTACAAATAATTTTATAGTCCCAAATACATGGGCTATTCATATAAGAAGGACAAGAATGCAATATGCTCTATTGCAAGTGACTGATTGACTGGCTCATAGCCAGAGATTGACACATCTTATTGTTACTATTTTTAAAAGTCCAGAAAACACCGTTATTCCTAAAAATAATCAGCGTAGTGGCATTGCGCAAGAGGGTTTTTCTTGCGCAAGAAGGGACAGTGTAGACAGCTCCTTCTTGCGCAAGAGCCTCTTCCGCAAAAATGGCAGCTCATTAGATATGCAAATGAGGCTTGGCGATATTCCAAGCTTAGCCTCATTTGCATAGCTCTGGCGCAAGATCGCGCCAGTGTAGACATAACCAAAGTGTTTGATGTGAATGAGGAAAGAATCAAGGACAGTTATCCCATATGATACCCAGGAAAGCCATCTTAAGCTATGAGCAAAAACACAAAGAACAAACATAAGTAACAAAACAATGCAAGGTAGGCATTGCCCAAAGCATCCACGATGTAAAATCAACTGGCAACTCATGTAGTCGGAAACAAAAAAAATTGTTTTTACAAACATGTGCAGCCATTTATGTATAAACAGTGATTTCTCATTTAACATGGTAGATATGTTTCAGACAATGATCGTGCTAAGTGAAAACGTGTTATGCGGGGTTAATTTTCCCATTGAAAATAAGGGAAAAGGTGGGAGTTGCGTTTCAAGCACACGTGTGCTCGCAGCTCCAGCCTGCACTTGTTAGCAGCTGGGACTGGGACATAAGGTTGGGGGAGAAAGGGGACTGGGTTATAGAAGGGAGATGAGGTGTTTGGCTCTGGAGAAGGGAAGGGAAGGACAGAGGAGGGGGCTTGCAGGCGATGGCTGGGTTTCCCCGGCTGGCCGGTCACTGGCAGCTGCGCGGGACTTCCTCTGCCTCCTTACAAAGCGGCGGAGCTTTGCCGCTCGCCATGCAGTTCCCCGGTGACCCCCTCTGGCCTGAAGCAAGGCATCTGGGCAGAGGGTGTCACTGGGGAACTGCGCAGCAAGCGGCAAACCTCCACGGCTTTGTAAGGAGGCAGAGGAAGCCCTGGGCAGCTGTGCAAGGCTTCCCCTGCCTCCCTACAAAGCGGCAGAGGTTTGCTGCTCACCACACAGTTCCCCGATGACCCCCTCTGGCTAGATGCCTTGCATCCGGCCAGAGGGAGTCATCAGGGAACGGTGCTGCGAGCGGCTAACCTCTGCCGCTTTGCAGGAGGCAGGGAAAGCCTTGTGCAGCTGCCGGCCACCGTCTGACCCTAGGGGAAATCATGTTATTGGGAGGATGGGGTTGTGTTGTTTGAAAAATGTTCCTAAAAAAAAAAAATTGTGCTATTGCGAAAACTTGTTAAGTGGGCACGTGTTAAGTGAGGAATTACCGTATTCAATGGCCCTTTACCCCCAGTCAAGTCGTGTTAGGGACTAACCTGTCCATATAAATTTCTGCCTTTCTTGTAAATGAGCTTGTGTCTTCCATGACTGTTTCAATTTCATGTTAGGAGAAGTGTCCATTGCAGGTCCATAATTCTATGTCTCTGATAGTTCTGACAGGATTTCTAGTTCAGGGCAATGCAGATCTTTTGTAACCATTCTCACTGTTGTACACAGCCTATTTGTGTATTGCTAAGCATAAACTTCATAATAAATAATGCATCTGTTTTGCTATATAAAGATGTAATCCTACTGCATATATGTACAATTACACAAGGGACCATATGGATATTCTCCACACAGAATTTAGTCCAAGTGTGTAGAACAGTAAGACAAAAGCAGACTTAGTGCAAATGGAAAGATGGAACTCAGAAAAGTCTACACTGCAGAGTTTTTCTGGAAAAACGACCTTTTTTTCCGGAAAAACTACACTTATGTCCACACTGCAATTGTGTTCCTTCGACAGAAAGTCAAAAGAATGCAGGGGGTTTTCTGACAGTTATAAACCTCTTTCTAGGAGGAAGAAGCGTTTTCGGAAAAAGGTGTGTTTAGATGGGGAAGAGGGTTTTTTTTTTCAATGGAAGAGGCCTCCAGGAAAAAGCATAGGTGCCTTAGTGGCAACTCCGTCAATAGTAATCTCAACTTAAATGTGAGATAGTGTCCACATTGATTAGATGCTATCTTTCAAAAAAGCAGATCGCTTTTTCAGTGTGCTTTTGCTGGGTGGAATCTCTCTTTTGAAAGAAGTTTGTCTGGAAGATCTCTTCTAGAAAAGCTTCTTCTAAAAGAAGCCTGAAGTCTAGATGTAGCCTGAGACACAGGTCTTGTTTTCTTCTAGTTTTCACATAAATATGTATTTGTGGCTTCAGAGCTGATCTGCAGGCAGTTCTCTTAAGCTTTTAGTCTTCAAAAGGGGAACAGAGCCAGTATCTATAGTAGCATGCATCTTATTTGTCCCAGGGTTGGTTGGGGAAATATTGACTTCCTAAAGTTTCTGTTTCCTTTATAAGACAATATCTAGAGAAGAATCTTGGCCTCTACTACACATGCTGCCCGGGATCCCGATCAAGATTCTCTGTTTTACCGAGAATAGCTTCCCATTCTGAGTTACAGTTGGTGGGAAGCCTTTTGAGAAGGTCAGCCCTCTCTCTGCCATTAATTGCATTTCAATCCTGAATTATGATCTGATATTATGAAACAGTAAATAAAGGTCCCTTGTGCCTTTATGTATCAACTATACCTTTTTGACACATAACCAATTCTGCCTAGTGCCATCAGAACTGTACAGCATTAGTTCTCTACTATCCTCGGGATTTTAACATAAACAGAAATCTGAGTTTTAAACCCTTCATTATGCACACTTCTTAACCTCCAG